ACATGCCTCGTGATGCCTACGGACTGGCAGCGACAATCGTATTTGGTTCGCCGATGGGGGGAGCATGTTGTGTCTCACTCTCAGCAGCAGCTTGCGATTCGGTGTTTCATGTGCACGGGTGCAGAGCCCTCCGAGCCATGGACGTCTCCCGCTGCGCAACAAGCTACGTCCTTCGCGGAAGCTATCACAAGAAGGTCTCCAATGACATCCCCGGAACCTTATCCAAACCCAGCGAGTCTTATGGTTCCTAATTCCCACCCACGACCAGCTGTCAATGGCAGACCGGTATCGAAGACGCCAGCGCTGAAGCTCATCACTTCATTTGACTCTCAACCAAACAATCGATTCAAGTTCCCCGGGCTGAAGTCAGATGACAGAACTCCAACAAATGCGCCCGGGGTTACACCGATCGCGGAATCTGCGGTTGTCGAATCTGCATTGTCTCCGGGTGGGTTTGGGTCGTACAAGCTAAACAATATCCAGAGCATAAATAACGCCATGAATACACGTACAACCACGCCCGCCTTCAACAGACGGCGTCTTCCGTCTATTGGGGAGACTCCGATTGACGTACACCCTCCTACATTTCCCTCCACGGGATATAACAAACAAGTGCTAGACTATGGATCAACGTCAGAAAATGACGAGAGTCAGCCACCAGAGCAGAAAGGGGAGGAAGCAGATGACGAGCAGCTCGGATTGCTCTCATCTGCCCGCTATGACCCTGAAGAGTACAAGCCCAGTCCTCAGACCGCAGTCCAAGCGACAGCGGATACCTTCGCCACCATCAAGGGTCTTCCTTCTCCGGCTGCTGGAGTTTTTGAGGCCCTAAAGGAGCGTTCAGACAGCCGAAACGGAACCAGAGACCGAAAGCCAGATGGCTTGCAGCTCAATCTTCATCACCGCAACGCGTCGGAGAATGATCTGCACGCCCAATCCGAGATGCTGGCTAACTTCCGCAGTCCAGCGTCAACGTTAAATAGCTTCAGTTCTGCTAGGAGCCCCAGCGTTAGCGGTCGCAGCATTGACCCGTATATCAGTAGCCTAGGCGAGGCAAACTATCACGCGAAGAAGTATCAAGGAACTCGTCCTAACGGAAGAGGAAGAAGGAATACAGATGACTCGGCCAGTCAGACCTCGGCTCGGAGGTACCGCTCCAGAAACGCATCACAGGAGACGCGCGGGCGAAATGAAAAGAGATACATTCCACCCGCCAAACGTTCTCCCTCCTCTCCTGTCCCAATGTCACCGGAGGAGCTGGCTCGGATCAATGCCAATGCCGCCAACAAGCCATCATCTCGAACACGCAGCGCTAGCAGGGTGCGCAAACCACGTTCGCGCAACTCCTCTGAACGCCGTCAAAACCGTTCCGCCAGTCGAAACACAGCCAACCATCTTGGTACTGAAAATCAAGGTCCTTCCAGTCGAGGACGCAGCATGGACCGTCAAGAGTCAGACGCCAGATCTCCCTCGCCTCCATTGCCGGGATCCAGTGCCGAGGACGCATTGAGACTAGTTGCGAGTGATAGAGAACGGTTGCGGACCCGCCAACGGAGCGGCAGTCGTCGACCTGAAAAGGGTGCAGGTGGGAGGGGGGAGATACCACCTGATTCGAAGTGGACAAGAGCGAGGTCTCGTAGCCGTCACGATACCGAGCCGACAGAGAGCGCTCAGCAAGTTGTGCCCGAGTTCTTCAACGGCGGTGCCACCCATGATGGCATCTATGTCGTTGATAACACTCATAGTGACAATAGTATGCTGGCACAGGCAGCTCACGAGGAGCAAACTGCTACCCTGCAAGTTAATTTTGCGGAACAGCGGAGGAAGGAGCTTGCCGCTGCAGAGCTTGAAGCTCGGCGCCTGTCGCTGGCACGCAATCCATCGGCGCCAAACATCCCATTTCCAGGGGAGCTGCAGCCGAGTCGTTCAGCTCTGGAGAATGCGACATTTTCCATGAATGCTTTTGCGCCGCGTACTCCCGGCCGGAACCGGACTGCTGCAAACAAAGGCTCGCCAGAGTATCCAAGCAGCTCCGATTCGAACTCTTCGAGGTCCGGTGTGCCCTTGGGACTGCCAGCAACCCCGAAAGCCATGAAGCACCCCAAATATAACGGGTATGAAGAAACGGCACCGACTCCCCCGGTGCCTTCTGATGCCGGCATCCTACTTAGTGATGCTAAATACCAGGGTGATGCTGAACGGATCGGTCGTTCGATGTCTGTTCCAATCCCCGAAAGCCATCAGCCTGGCGCGGTGCCAACGAATCTCCCGATGCACCCAAGATACAACCCTCATCTCCCGAGAAGTCGGTCCACAAGCCGAACACGAAGTATGGCTCCTCGTCGAGACAGTGGCGGACATAGCTACGGTGGCTCCCCTGTGACGGTTAGCATAGAGGAGACCATCGAAAATGCAATGGCAAACCAGCAGACCGAGAACCCTCCCATTTTGCCGGAGCTCCAACATCTGAGTCCTCCTCCACCGCCACCTCCCCCAACTGCCCCTTTGGCCTCTCCACGCGAGTCTTCAGGGACCATAGACATCGCCATTGACAATGAAGACTTCGGTCGGCTGCTGCCTCGCGCGATGACCACGGGACCTACGCTTCACACGGATGGCCGTCCGGGTCTGGAACAACGCCGTATGTCTTTTGAGCACCGCCGGGGCCGCAGTGTCAACGAGAGCCTGAGCAGCAAGATCCGTAACCTGGCCCGGATGGGCAGCACCAAGAGCACAGACTCGTGGGTTGCTACTGATATTTCGATCCCGTACGAGAGCGTTATCGTCGACGGGCGCATATAAGCATACCTTTGATGCTTGCTTCTAACCTGTCAACCACTACAGTTGGACAATTATGATTGATGACATTCTGTTTCTTTTCATTCTTTCAATTACTTTTACATTTGCTTGCTTCCCCAACCTCCTTTTCTTCTTTTTTTCCATTCAGCCAAGGCATATCTCAGATTTTGGTTATTGTGATAGTTGGAACTGTATACCCTGGCACTACGCTTCCCTGATAATGATGGACAAGCAAGGAATTACTCAGTTACCAGAAGATGCACTATAATGGGTTTCCTTTCATATTTCCATTCTTCCTCGTCTCTAAACATGGCCCTCGGGGGCACGAGAAAAGTCGCTCCTTAACCTATTTGTCTAAGTCTTGCCATACTATGCAGACACTTAGTGATTAATCAAGCCATTCTGGACTACACTGGTCAATTACTCTAGAGCATTAGACCTTACGAAGCATTGCTCGCAGGAAACATGTAGCTGTATCCAACTGGCACCGGGCAACTATCGGTCAGGGACAAGTAACTAACTGGCAGAGGGGAAAATCGTAATTAGAATTCACCTGTCCATGCCTTGGACAATAAAGTCAGCGCTATGATGTACAAGCCACTATACAAACAATCAGTCCCATTTCCCCCACCACCCAGAAGTGTGCTGCTGTGGAGTGTTCAGACTGTCCGTCGACATCTTCCGCTCCGCCTCAATCATTCTGTCAAATTCCGCCTGCGCCAACTCACGCTCACTTGGCTTATCGTTAGCCGTAGCCGGAGCAGGAGCAGAGGCAGTGGAACTCGACGCAGGCTTATACACCGTCCGCACCTCCCGCTGAGCCGAGACATTATTCTGCTTCCGAATCCGCTCCCAGGCACTTTCCCCAGGCACCGACTGGTCCTTGTCCCTATACTCAGCAGCCACAGGACTAGCATCATCCCAGAAGTCATCAGCCTTATCCCTCGACGACCTCGACGTCTCATAAGACGGCGTAGCCACCTTCTTCGTCTCAGTGCCCCACGACGTCGTACTCGACCCGAACTTCGCCGCCTCCTCATCCGACCCAGTCTGCACCCCCAGCCCATCACCCTGCTGCGGCAGCTGACTCTGCTCCTCACCCTTCGACCCCGGCATCGGCGTCGTCGGCGGCGGCGGCATCCTCCCCGTCCTATCACCAGCCCCCCTCATCTCACCCCTCCTCTTCCTCGCCTCAGCCCAAAGCCCCGTCAACCTCGAATCATTCATCATATCATTAATATCCCTGGCGCCCGCAATCCCATCACCAATCATCAGACACACAATCGCAACAAAAACCGACTGAAACCCCGCCCGTGCAGCATCCTGTCTCCACGTATTCGGGTTCTCCCTCACCCATTTCTGTATCCCCGCGATCAGCAAATCGTACCGTCGGATGCCCGCCTCCGGCGCGAAATTCTTCTTCCATATCTCGGTCCTCTGCGAGGCCTTGTAGCACGCGATCATGCCAACGAGCACGCCTACCGGCTGCCCGATTCGGCTGTGGTAGAGGCGTGCCGTGGAGTGCTCGATTGTGGCGTCCGCTTCGGCCTGGGTGAGCGGCCGGTGCGCGATCCGTTGGTGTTGTTCGAGTGTGCGGATCACGTTCATGGTTACTAGACTGCTCCATACGCCTTGGCCTCCGAAGCCTAGGTAGAGGGTTATCGGGTCCGGGCGTTTGAAGAGCTTCGGGTTCACTTTTAGTGGGTGGAAGCGCGAGAACGGGTCGTTCGGGTCTTTAAAGCCGGCGGGGGGGTCCCCGGAAGGTGGGGGGTCGGTGGTGTATGACATTGTGGTGTGTGCGAAGCTGTGGTGTTGTGGGTGGGAAGCTGGTGTTGTGCTTGTGGTGATGGATGGGGAGCTTGGATGATGATGATGATGGAATTGATGATGCGGAGGTGGTTTGTGCTGTGTTGGTTAGTCAGCTGCATAGGGGTTGTGCGGAGTTGTACTGTTTACGTCTGTTTGAGGAAAAACACCTTTAAGCTTGAACTCATTTGAACTGATTGTATCAAATTCAATTACTAGCTTAATTAAATAGGTAGCAATCAGTATGTTCCGGAAGCTATTATGTCTTTCGGGCTCTGGAATTGATATTGTTGTCCATTTGAATACTATCCTCTGCAACTTCATCCTTATACATTATCAACTTGGAATACTATCATCTCCAAAGACTGCACACTCCCTATTCCCCAATTTTCTCCTTACCACCTCTCCACATATGGCCTCAAATCCAACTCAAACCCGAACGTCGTTCTAGGCTGCGTATGCAAATGCCAATACGAGTCGGCAATCTATCGACATCATCAGCATCTCACCCCAATCAAACAACCAAACTACCAAACAGCTCAAAGCAATGAAAGAGAAAAACTTACAGCCTCAGGATCCAACTTGGCATCCTCCTTCTCAAACACCCACCCCTTCGTCCTCGGGATATCAATAACCCCATCAATGATAACATGCGAGACATGAATACCCTTCGGCCCAAACTCTCTCGCCAGCGACTGCGCCAACGCTCTCAGCGCGAACTTGCCCGCCGCAAAGGAAGCGAATTGCGCCGATCCCTTCAGGCTGGCTGTCGCACCAGTGAAAATGAGAGTAGGTGGGTATTTCAACCCTCCTTGCGACTCAGCAGGGAAAAGTGGGAGGACATTCTGTGCGAAGTTGAATGCTCCTTTTCTGTATTATCACATGAGTATTTCCTTTCTTCCATTTAGAGGGAATGTAGGGGAGGAGGGGGGAAATGCATACCCCTGACTCTCAAAGCCGGACGCAAAGTCCGTCTCGGTCAATTCGAGGAAAGGCTTCCTCACGAATCCACCGCCCGAGTTGAATACGGCAGCTGCTAGCGATGAACCCTGGAACTGCGATTTGATCTGCTCAAAGGCGGAACGGACACCTGTGGTGTCGGAGAGATCGGCGCTGATGCCGGTGGCTTGGCCGCCAGCGGAGTTGATTTCGTCCACGACCGGCTGGTAGTTTGCTGGGTTGCGGGCTAGTACTACGATGGGGTAGGATTTGGCGAAGCGGCGGGCGATGGAGGCGCCCTGTGCGATTATTAGTTGTTTGTTTGGGCTTTTGTTCTTTCAAGGGATGGATGTATAGTATGTTAGTCGGTGGGAGAGATACGTACAGTGCCTGGGCCGACGCCGGCGATGATGGCGAAGGGTTTGGTGGCCATTTTGATGATTGCAGGGTTTTCGTTGGGGAATAAAAATATATAGTTTTGGGATGTTTATGGAGAAAGAGGGGTTGATATGGAACTATATAGTAAATGAGGAGATTCTCATGGCGTCATTCCAGTCGGGGTTCTTGTCATGCCGAGATTAGAAATCCGCGATGCGATCAGTAATCAAGGGATGGGGTGTGGCCGGGGAGTGTGTATAAGGTCTAGAATCTGGATTTAGGGAGTGTATGCTCTAAAGAAAGGCAAATAAGGAGTTTATTGTCAAATTGGCCATGCTAGAGTGTCATTATAGTTATGTGGACGGTAATGTGGGAAATAATCTATGTCTGACAGGTAGGAAGCAGCAAATAGGGTAAAAACTCTAGTATACTCCGGGATAGCCGCTACTATCTACTTTCCCCCAAACTAGCCATGGCAAGCAATTCACGACTCTCACTCTCCATTTCACCATATTTATCATCACTATTTATGTTCAACTTATGTTCAATATTCACGAGATTACGATGCAGTTAATTATGGTGAATAGTAAAGGAACGCTAACCCCAATCCGTTAATGGAAGACATCACGTGCATGTAAAGACAGTGACTGCGATGTATACAACAAGTTCTATTTATTTGAGAAAGTTCATACTCAGTCATGATGTGTCTCTGTTCAGTCAGTGGGTGATAGCGTCAAAACTATTCCAAGTTATCACGCCACGTCAGTGGTTGTGACTTTGTGACCTTGACTGTGCCGGATCGTGCAGTATCAACAGTATCTATACTGACGATCGTTCAATATGAATTCGCACGAAGCAGCAAAAACAACGCGTCTTAACAAGAAAGGTCAAGCTCCACCTGTCAAAGACGTTCTTCGCATTGCCTCATATCACCGACTCGACTACGACCTAGCCGTCATCAGAACATCCCCTATACACCACAATCTGATACGCCATTTGCTGACCCCCAAAACCCTTACCATCGACCTGGATTCAAGTCTTGGAGTCCTGGATGTCTTTCCACTAGAGTTCATCCATGAGATATGCCTCAAGCTCGACATCCAATCCCTGTTCCGCTTCCATCGAGTCAACCGTCGAGCTCGACAAATCGCCAGCGCCAGTGGATACTACAAAGCGGTAGTCAAATACGCCGTCGAGGTCCTTTTTGTCATCTTCAGAACCGGCCTGGCACCTTGGTACACAATTTCGGACTTATATGACGTCCTCTGCACAAAGAATTGCAAGGAATGCGGTGCCTTTGGTGGCTTTATCTTCCTTCCATCGTTCATGAGATGTTGTTTCTTCTGCATTCAGGACGATCACCTTCCTTACCTTTTGCCTACTCGTCACGTCAGACCATTCCTGGGCTGGCGACCGGTTCCTATTTCCAGCCGGATCCCTATGATAACGACGCTGCCTGGGGTGTACTCGTTGGATGAAACAAAGCGAACGGGACGATTCGAATTTGTTTTGGAAAAATCCGCTAAATCGCTCTTCCCGCCTGACCGGGTTCCAATTATCCCCAGGCTTCATTCGACGGTTTACACAGAGCTGCAGCGTTATATGGCCAGTACGGCTCTACCTTATTTCGACGAGAAAAAAGGTGTCATTGAGAGGGGCGTTTCCTGCAGTGGCTGCCAGATTTCTCTAGAGAAGGCCTTGCAGTCGTCAGGGGCAGACTATGATGACTGGGATGACCGAGATAGATTTTATTCGCATGATCAATTCATGGTGCATTTTGGAAAGTGTTCAGAGGCTCGCAAGCTATGGGAATTGAGCAAGGGGGCCACCATCAAGCCTGACGTCCCGGCGTTTGTTAAGAATGGAGGCTGCGCTAGGAAGAGGTATATTCCTGATCCATTTCGCAGAAGATAGCTTGTCAGAAGGCTTGGTACAGGAGGCTTTGGTCAGCAAACTGGAATTTTATGTAGCCTGAGATAATATTCAGGAGTGTAATGGAACTCAGGATAGTAATGGAATTGAAACAGTTTCCTTCAGTGCGATGCCCAGGCAGACATGCATAATAGGCGCATATGCGGATGATCCTAGCAGTCCGCCATTTCTTTCACACTTCCCAAATAAGACCTTTCCTCTCACCTTTTACATTGCATAATCTACTTGTACTACTAATCGAACCTTCTCATCAGAGATATTATCTCATACCTCTTATAAACAGCAAGACCTATCTTAAACCCTACCCACCACCACCACTACCACCCAAAACCCTCCCCCACACTCCCTCCCTCAATGACCCCAACCCAACCCTCCCCCACGATCCTCTCCATGGAAGTATCAAGCAAAGATGACAGCGACTACCGAATCCTCCTACAAAACAAAATCCGCTACCTCACAATCCGTCCCGGAACATTCAACCGCTCAACCCTCTCCACGCCTCTCAGCTCACTACCCAATCTCCCAGGAGACGATACCTGGAACTGCGCACTTATCAGCCGAGACCCAGCCAGCGGCGAACTCACCATCGAACTACAGAACCGAAATCTTACCGGCATAACAGATATCTGGCACCCTGTGCAGATTGACTGTCTTCAACTAAGAAGGACAAGACAGCTTACAGCTACTGCATTCGAAGCAACCTTCTGCGGCAGCGAGCTAATAAGCACTACCACGTTAGAGAAGAACATAACATTCATTGTCAAAATCGCCCGATTCGAGTGGGAAATACCCCGTCTATCGCGGGAAACTTCCATATATAAACAGTTACAGCTACAGGGGATCTCTGATCTTGCACCGCGCTTTCTGGGCCATGTACATGAGCAAGGGCGTGTCATTGGGTTCATACTTGAAAAGATTGAGGGGCGTGCAGCGGGGATTGAGGATCTTGTGGGATGCCAAGCTGTGTTGAAGCGACTGCATGATGTTGGTATTGTTCATGGTGATGTTAATAGGTATAATTTTGTTGTTCGAGGTGATGGTACAGTTAGGTTGATTGACTTTGAGGGTAGTTGGCAAGATAAGGGTGCGATTGCCATTATGCGTGCTGAGATGGAGAGTCTGGGTGAGCAGTTGGTGGAGGGGACTGGACGGGGTGCTGGTTTTATTTCGTCGAATTATTTGATCGAGTAGCAGGTATATAGCTTCCTTTGAATTTCACTAATACATTGCTATGAAATTAGCCACTCTCGTTGGTTTGAAGACTGAGTTGATCTTCACGAAACCTAACTATACAACTCAACCGCCTTTCTGCCCCAGGCACCAACACCCCCCAAGCTCCCTCCCTTATCGATAAGCCACCAAGTAGCAACTCCAGCTTATCTCCGATACGAAAACCCATCATGCTATCATTTTTTCTCCGCATGCGACAAACGCATCCTCCTCCATCACCACACTTCAACCCAACAATCCACTCTTTTAATATACTAATACCAAACCAAAAGCCAAGAGCAACAAAAGAAATGTCCACCTCAACCCCAGACTCCCCCCTCTCCGACCTCTGCTCAATCTGGTCCGTCCATGCCCCCATCCCCATCCCAACCCATCCACCCTTCTCCCACCCAACTCTCACTAACCACTCCCCTGGGGAAAATCCAACAGCCACCTCCAACCCCCCAAATACCGCTGTCCGCGATGCTCAACACGCACCTGCTCACTACCCTGCACACGGCGACACAAACTCTGGTCCCAATGTTCAGGGATCCGCGACCCAGCCGCCTACCTGCGCCGGTCCGAACTAGCAACAGAATCCGCCTTCGATCGGGACTTTAATTTCATTACGGGGATTGAGCGCTCGATTGAGCGCGCGGGACGGGATGCGGAGAATAGGGGGATTGATGTTGCTTCTTCGGGTGTGAGGGATTTGGAGGCGGTTGGGTTGGATGCGGGGGATGTGGTGGATGGGGGTGTGGATGATAGGAAGAAGGGTGGTGCTGGTGCTGGTGCTGGTGCTGGGGGGAAGAGGAAGAGGGGAGGGGATACTGCTGGTGGTGGTGGGACGAGGGCTGAGATGGAGTTTTTGAGACGTGCGGAGGAGAGAGGGGTTAGGGTTGTTAGGGCGCCGAAGGGGATGAGTAGGAATAAGGGGAATGGGAGTCGGTGGTTGGGGAGGTATGATCTTTCTTTTCTTTTCTTTGGTGCTTTAGGATGGGAGTGTTGGTGGGATTGGGATCGTGCTAACTACGTGGTATGTAGGAATCAGTGTTTGGTTTGGACAGTCGAGTGGATCCTGAGTGATGGGGAGAAGAGGATGAGGAATTGTTCGGAGTTGGCTCCTGTTGCGGATTCTTTTGATCGGGTGGTTCCCCTTCCTAAGGAGGAGGGGGGTGGTGAGGAGGGTCAGAAACAGACTGGGGATGAGAAGCCAGAGGAGACGTCAGGGTCGAAGATGGAGGAGCAACAGCAACAACCGCAGGATGCTACAACTACAGTCCCCGAGCCGGCCTCGACTACAGAACCTACAGAGCCGACAGACACACCAACTGCTCAACCGGAAGCTTCAGATCTGCCACTTACCCCCCACCGCGATCTCTACTTCTACCTCCACCGGCCGCGGACAGCTACGAAACAGCCTGTTTTGGCCCCCCTGTCCCCGAAGACCACCATTGCTGCCGCTCTGCGTGGTCACACAGTCTTGGAGTTCCCGACCATCTACGTGCTGCCGTACTCACCTGATACTATACGAGCCCAGGAAGGTTCCAAGTACATTCTAGAGGAAGAGTACCTTCGCACACATCAGTCGCCGGAGGAGAGCAGCGAGGATACGGGGGGTGCAGACGACACATTGCCTCCGGGTGCCATTGACCTTCAAGGCGTCGACGAATCCAAGGTTCTGGAAGTCCTCCAGAAGGATCTGTTCGAGCCTTCGGCAGCAGCGTAGGAACTATCTAGATCTGGCTGGAGCATCATGACATAGAAGGGAGGGGAGGGGACATCTACTTGTACCTAATATTTGTTCATATCATAGCGAACTGAAGAGCCGGGTGGAACCGTGCTTTACTTGCATCTGTACTAGGAAAAAATCATCTATGATCGGCGGATGCACTTCGAGGCAGTCTGAGCGACGAAGATAGCGATCTCGATCGTATAGGTAGTTACTCGAACTCCCGACCCGTTGTCTCGGATCGAGCTATGCTTGGTCAACAATCACTGGTTAATTGTGCAATCAAATCGAAAGTATGTACGCTAAATCCAATATCCAGATATGGGGTATCATATGAACCAGAATAAATCAAACAGGACGCCTTTGATGCTTGTCGGGTATCAACGTCCGTAGCGGCTTATATAGCCAAGACATGATAGATCGTCGGTATATGTCAAACGCTCACCTTTGGCGAGCAAGTGTCGTCTCTGCCTTTCAGGTATTCGTCGGAGGTTCCAGCAGGCTCCGCAGCCTCGATCAATCGATGGCGCGACATAGCCTGGAGTGGAACGGCGATCCACGAATACCCGAGCGTCTGCTGCGCAGCGGCAAGGCGGTTAGACGACGTAACCGATGTATCGACATACTGGGTAGAGATATCACAACTGCAGTGTGTATCCCATGGCTCAAGTCAGTGGACTCGAAGCATCAGACGCAGTGTCTGGAAGCTCGTGATCGCCGATTTTCTCGGCATGATCAGAGGAAATAGATAAGACTTCGGTAGGAATCGTATTCGGCAAAGTTGGCTCGTCCTCTGGTGCAACCTTGCTGTTGCGAGAACCAGCTTTAGACTCAGCGGCTCTAGACTCAGTGGGCGACGTGTTCGTCCGCTCCGATCGGTTGGATCGAAGTCGGATCCGGCCTTTCTCCAAGGCTCGAAGCAATGTACCAACCTCGTCCGAAACGATCCCACGAAGCTTGCTCATTGTGTCGTCAGAGATCTCAGAGTGGGCATTCCAACCAAGCTTGTCAGACTCTTCAGAGGTCAAAGACTTGGACTCCAAAGAGGGTCCAGTGATGAGCCTTTTCAAAGTCGTAGGTGACACAGTCGGGCGGCGTGCCATCTTGACCGGCTTCTCCTTGCTCGACGTAGCCGAGATCACCTCTTCCTGCTGACGTTTAGGCGGGCGGGTTATAGCAGTGTTCGGGCCTTCGCCCACTTCGTTGCGAATCTTATAATATACCAACCCCAAGGTCGCAGCCAGGGCCTGGTGTGCAGCCTCGGGGTACAGGCGTACGGCTTCTGCGCGACTCAAGTTGGACGGATAATCGCTGGAATCACTGGAGTCGCTATCACTCGCAAACAGGCTTTGCTCCTGGTGCATGCGGCCCCAATACTCGTATCCTCCAAGCTGATAGAAGTCGGCCAGTTGTGCCAACCGGTTGACTGAGTTAATGTTAGATGCTTGCCGTTGTGACGCAATGATTCCTGCACTTACTCCTGCTTCGCTTCTTCAGACACCAAAATCTCCACACAGTGCGAGGAAAATATTCAGGCCACTGCAACGATCCATCCTCTTCAACGACAGGTACAGGCGTGATCGGTGCATGTGTCGTGTGGGCCAGAGAGTTGAAACGAACTCGTTCAGAATGCTTCATCCGAGCTTCAATAAGAGAGAACCGATTGAACACAGAAGTCAAATGTCGCGATGTCTCATGTTGCAGAGTAATCAGATCCGTTCGAAGTTGGCTGATGGTCGCATGTAGTTTGCTGATCTCCACGCGACATCCACATACGTCAGTCTGCAGGTGCTCAACATCTGACTGGATCTGTTCCACGTTTTTTGACAAGCGGTCGACATCACTGCGAAGGAAGACGGTCTCGTTGCCGCTTTGGCCGATACTGGACTTAAGTTGGGAGATCCCTGACTTCAACTGGTCGACGTCTGTCTTCAACGCAACGACATTCAGATCGATTCGACTGGAAATTGACCGATGGGCTTCGAATTCGCGGCGAATGTGTTCGTCTTCGCGGTTTCGTCGGTCAACGTAGCCATCTTTGGTTAGAACGCTGGAGCGTAGCTCAAGTAGGCGGGAGTCCAGGAAGGTCAGGCGGTCATGGATGTGTGATAAGGACGGGTCTGCTAAGGCTGGAGGCGTGTTTTCATGGATGAGAGATAGTCGAGGGCTAGAGACGGGGATGGACATGCTCGACGTGCGAGAGAGGCTGCGTTCGAGGGTTGTGGTCATGATGGGCGAAAGGGGGACAGGGAGAAACGGTAGAATTGCGCGGGTTGGTGTACATAAAAGCACATGGAACGCTTTAGACAGGTATCAGCAGCATTTTGCCTGAGTTTTGAGATGACAGCGAGATGGTTGTGGTGGAGTTCGATGACGGTTGTTGATGGTTGAAAAGCGATGGCTGGGGCGTTGCAAGAGGGAAAAGAGACGAGCGACCGTCGAGAAGGGGATCCAGGCAGATCCCGCCCCTCGCTGGCTGCCTTCCTTCGTGGCACCAGCTTCACCCAACCGAATTCATTCCAGCGCCTGACCTCAATGCATACAGTCGCATCCAAGGGAATTGCCATAATAGCAGCGCTGCTTTTTTAGACTTTCATTCTATACAGGCCTAATCATGGCAACTATTCTATTTCGTTGTTTCTCCTAGCTAGTATACTTAATCGCAGAGGAAGTTATCGCGAGCCAGCTATGACAATACACGGTACACTCCGTGACAAAACGCATCACAACATATCGGCGGCTTGGCAGACACACTGCATTCAGCTGACCCAAAGCAGCCAATCACCGTTGTTCCTGCTCATCTCGCCACCTGAAATGGAGAGTAGCATCACCCGTTGATTGGACAACGCAAATAACTAGTAGCATCCTTCGGCGTCATGGTCCTCACCTTCGTATCGATAACCGTACTGGTCAGATTGTATACAGGATGAGAACGGTGTCCATCAGGCCTCATTCTCCAGACAGACGGGTGGGGTTCGCTTACCATAGATTGGACGCCTCGCTGACTTGAGATTGGCATTACTACAGAATGTTCAACCAGCGATCTCAGATATCCCAGAATAAGGCCGGGAAATATGCCTCATACTTAACAGCATCTTACTCAAGCACTCAAGCACTCAGGCACACGACGCATAGGTACTGCCTAGGGCCATTGTTTTGGAAGCGCTGATAAGGGAGTGTGCTGATGGTATGGATTGCTTCGTCGCAGGAAGGAGACGTACACATCGTTGGTTCACGTCGTTAACCAAATAACGTCTGTAGCTTGTCCTCTCTCATCACATCCAACCAGCTAACCATGGAGCAAGCCCCTGCGCTTCTTAAGCTTATGCTATCCGCTCGCATCCACACTCCTTCCACTATTCTTCTCGCGTAGTCCACCGAGTCCAGACCAACATAGTCTCGTAGACTGGTAATTTTGTCCATGACAACACGTCTCCAATAATTTGTGATGATGCTGTTGCTAGATAGTGACATGATCCCTTGAATCGGATCGCGAATACATGACGGCAACAACGATGTACTGGATGAGGGCTGCGTCTGCCCTTGCAGCGCGCTGCCTGCAATGATCAATGGAAGAACCTGGATAGCCTTTGTTCTGGATGATGGAGGGATAGAAACCAGCAGGGTCAAAATGTTTGTGGCGAGAGTGTCAAGGAAGTGTTTTGTCTCTGATGGACTGGGACTGTAATTGATCTGGTCATCGCTCGACCGAAGTAACTCTGGGAAAAGCCGGTAAAGCTCGAGCAGTATCGATAGCTGGTACACAAGTCCCATAGTATGAAGATGGCTCGATGGGGTGAGGTCATCTCCTGTAGCGCTAATCTCATCAGCCGCCAATACAGCATAATCCCGAACGAACTTCTCGACTTCCTTTGCCTTGTCGAGAAGTGAAAGATACATCTCTCCCTTGTATTTATCCGGGCCTGCCAGGGAGCACAGCCGATCAACAAGGCGAAGCTGTCTTGACAATGTACCGACCTGAGCCATAGAGATAAACAGTGATGTGCTGACCCCGGTAAGTGGATTCGGACAGCAAGCCTCCGAGTTTGTTCCTCTGTTGCACATATCCCAAATATAGTCTACAGCCTCCAGATTCTGGTCAACGTGAAAGGAGGCAAGAGCCTCCCAATACGCCATCACACCAACTAAGAAGCTAGAATTCGGATCATAAGGAGACGGTCCCACGCTTTGTCGGTGGGCGCTAAACATCCACTTTTGGAATAGAGTACGGGCGCCTTTAAGATGCACTAAATCTAGCAAGGATACATCGTGCCATGTCTGGTTTCCGGTAAGGAATTAGTAAGGACACGAAAGACCAGTTGCTAAACGGAATCAAAGTACAGCTTACCGAGGTCATTCCGAGTAAGATAGAACTCAGCAATAAAGCAGTCGTATCTAGGTTGGCTGGTGCAGAACCCTCAGCACTAGTAACATTGGTGATGTTGGAAGCCAGCTGTGATATAGCCTGGGTTCGATGTTCAAGCGAGTACCTCATCCGGTCTTTTTCTCGTCGATACAGATGAGCCGACGACATTGAGAGAACGGAATGCAAAAGTGCTGGACATGATGGTATAAGTTCTTTGAGCAGCGACCGGAGCGGATTCTGCGACGAGTCAAAGGCAGAAAGGATGCCGCACACTTGCGAGAAGTAGTATCTCAGTAATTTGTCAGTAACTGGTTCTGGACAGCTGTATGGCAGTTGATTCTGATAGAGATGGTCTTCATGGTACAGCTCTGCAGAAGAACTGCACAACGTATCCCAAGCATGTGTAGTATTCCAGCAGTCTGCGGTACTCGTTGCCGTGTCTGTGCTCTCCAATGGCGCGTCCGCGGTCTTGACGCTCGCTGTATGACTGGGAGCGATGGCAGCCCTCAGTTGGAGAGCACCCTCTACAAACCAGGTCGAATCATCCCTGTGCAACGATTGTTCTTGGCTTGTCGCGGATCCTCTGAGCCACTCATATTTATCGGACCATTTTACATCTTTTCTGTAGCCAGGGCACTGCAGTCCTTTCTTCTCACACGGAGAGCAACAATGGGCTTTCTCGTCACACTTGATGCGCTGTTTCACCAAAGTTAGATTATATGCAGTGGAAGCACGGTGCCCACGATGAGTTGGTCGTGTCACTCACCCGTTTTTTGCATGTCTGACAGCCGGCTATGGGTCAAGACATTGTGGTTAGTGTAACTGCTAAATCCATCCTAGGCTGGGTGTCTTACCACGCGATTTGATTCTTTTTCGTGGGTTTGAAGTCTTGTATTTAGGCATGTCTCAATGTTTACATGGAGAAAGCCATTCCGGGGTCTCGAGCGGGCCTTGTTATTAAGGAGAGTTATGGGGCACAGCTACGCTACGGAAATACTCCGTCTTCCCCACCTTATCCAATCGTGAAGCCAGGGATTTGACAACCGAACGATAAGCAGAAAGCCAAGGATGATATGCATTTGAATCTCTAATCGGGCATACAGTTGCGACTGCTCATCACTAAATGCTACATGCTCATCTCGCTACCTTATCTATCCAGTATGCCTTTCCTTGGGTACTATGGTCAGATATGCGATCCCCTCAAGGCAAGCGTTCCAGCAGCATCCGTTTCAGCCAATATCGTCGCGTACGAACCAAATAACATCTGCACCAGTCTTGCCGGCTTCGGATCCCAGCAGAAGAACCGGCCTGTCGAGCGCATCTGTTGAAGATCCACCACGACAATCGATTCAACAGGCATGATCTTCTCACTCCAGAACAGCAGATATAATTTCTCATCCAGCTTCAGCACTCTGCATGGCTCAGTGTCTGCAAGCCCTTTTTCGGTCCCACTCAGACAATGCCATGTCAATGTGCCTTGGTTTAGGTAGATGTGCTCGTAGGCATCCCGGGGCGTGTAGCGGTATAGGATGTGTTTACCAATAAGATCTGTTGTCGGCGCAAACGGGACAACATCGTTGCGTCCGTCAATTGAGGCGTTCGAGAACCGAGTCCAGGTCCGTTTCTGCTCGTCTTTGATGTGAAAGCCAGAAAGTCCAACAATGGCCTGTCCGGTGCGCAGGTTCATCACGAGACTGACTTGCTCTTGATAATCGGACTTGTAAAAGTCGACAAAGAAGGTGTCTGGTCGAACTTCGAAGGCTTTATACTTCGCAGTCCCGGTCTGTTTATCGCTCTGAACCTCCCATTCCAGAGTGTCAGCATCGATAAAACGGTGCGCGATCCGTGTGAGATTGGCGTCGTTGAGGAATAGCGTTAGGCTCTTCCCGGTGAGCTTGCGGGACTCAGCCATCAAGTGCTCATTGAAGCCTACTGCTAGGGCATCGAGATTCGGCCATTCGGAGACTGGAACATAGCCAGGGGTCTCATTTGCTGAAGCCATATTGGGGGCTGTTCAGTTTTCGAATCACTTGTTATGGTGGGAAGGGATAGGATATGAAGAAAGACAGATGACTTGCCAGACTTTAAAACTGCCAGACACAGCATTTGACTTAGGTGTTATCTGAACCTTTATACCCCTCAAGTTATACCCCTCAAGTTGATGCTTTCCTATACTTCAATCCGTTTCTTCTTCACAGCTAGTCCGAGACCATAGTCTACGGCTCCACAATATCGTACTTTATGCCCGTAAGCGGTTTAGTGCGTCTCGCTCAGTCCACTCTATGCCTGCGCGCCACAAGGTTAGTAGTAGGTTCCTTCGGAACTCGTGTTCTGAACTGCGAATGAATAACAAAACTGGACATGAGAGCAATAACCACGGTCGACGGCGGAATAAGGCCGAAAGCCAATGCAGCGTGAGAGACGCCGCCAGTGGGCTACATGACACTGCTATGGATGACGTGCAAACAGCCCTCATAGACTTGACTTCTGCAGCAAGAACCCAAAAAGGCGAGATAAGCCAACCTGGACCAAGGACAAGGTACCTTCAGCAGCCGAAGACCTTGTCAAACAGGCGCATTAACCCTGATCTCAGTACTCAGGCTATAGTTGGAACAAACTCCAGTATACATTGGTTTCCCGAGCGGCAGCGCTAGACCTGTTTCGTTAATATTATTAGCTTATAATTATATTATTATTATACTACTGCAGAACCTCTCATACAAAATACTGCAAATTATATTATTATTATACAATTAGGGTTTGGTTAGCGGTCGCCATGAACGAGGTTGCAATGAAAAGTCTTTCCGATTCCATCTTCCACAAGTCACAATCATCCATCTTCAATCCGGGATTGGACTCTTAATCATAAAACATAATCTATACCGCATCGCATACTGTTTAATCTCTCTTGGCAACATTAATCACTGAGGTCACAATGCCACCGTCGAATATAAAACAGAGGGTCCTTAAGACGAAGATGAAACGATCGCTCTGGCCAATGCAAGCGACGAGATGTTGATCGAGGCCTTTGACGCTATGAATCGATTGATGGCTCGTTCTTGACATCTCCAATAATCAGCGCTTGAGTTAGGGAGTGTGGCATGCTGGTAATACTGTCACCAGGTAAGCGATTGTGTCTAGAGTATCAAACCTCAAACGCGTGTTCTCCCCGATGCGAGTGTGATTATCCGCTCATCAACTCGGATAATAGGATCTCCGTTACGAAGTCAATGAGATCGGACCTTACGATGCAAACCATTTGAGTATTTGGTGGTGGCTTCAACGTGGATCTTGTGGTTGGCTTTAAATATATCGTCGACTGGAATATTATAAGCAGAGTGGGCAATGATTGCTCGTTCAAGGGCGATAATTCGGGGATAGTCTCTGACTGCACACATAGTATATGGTTAGCATAGTTCTGATGAGTGAGTGAGGAATGGATGTATGCTCATCGGACCAAATTTCCGCTGGTCGCTTGGTTATAGCTGCGTGACTTCCCACGTCAGAAGCATCATCTACCCAAAAATATACCCTCTGTAAGCCAACAGAGTAACACGGACCTTGGATTTCATTGAGCTCGCTATTATAATACTCTTATTCCCACCGACCTCACCTAGACAACGATTCTGCGTGCGAACGATGGTGTAGGCAGAAAGTGCTTCCGGAGGGCGCATATCTCCATACAAAGTGGGCCACTTTGTATACTTCTCGTCCCCAACAATATAGTTCCCTCCGTAAATAATCTCATCAAGGGTCAACTCACACCCAACGTTGTGGTAAATTGCCAAACTACATTCATTTCATCATGCAGACCCATCAACTATCAAGTTGATGGAAGTGACCGCCATGACGCACCTTCCATGTCAACATATCCTATCATCAGTTCACCGATATCATCATTCTCCCAACCGTTCTCACCATCATACAACAACCACTGCTATCCTTAACACCCCCCTCCTACATCTATCCTCAACCCTATTCCTACTATTCATACAACCACCACTCCTCAAGATGAAACTCCTCCTCACCACCCTCATCCTCTCCACCCACCTCCTCCACGCAACCGCAATATCCATACCCACCACCAACCTCCAAGACGACCACCCCCACGCCAACTGCGACTGCTACCTCACCTCCAGCATCACCTCCAACAGCCCCTCAAACCAGACAACCCCAACCTACTTCACTCACTACAGATTCTGGGACTTCCGCAACGCCCCTCTCCCGCAAACCAAGCCCGAAACAACACAAACCAACCCCTCCAACCCGCACGACACATCCACACTAGAAATCTACCCTCTAACAAACACCCTCTTCTCACACGACTGGCGCGTCCAAACCTGGGACCGCGAAGCAACAGACATCAGCCCCGTACCAATGAAGAACACCGACGGGAACGTCTTCCTCCTCAAACACCCAACCAGCACCCCCAAGGACCCACGCTCATCATTCCTCGTCCTCCGCACCACCCGCTTCCAAGACCACGCATCAACAGCCGAAGTGGAAGGTCTCTTCGGATACATATACCACTGTTCACTACGCCTACGAATGAGAATGATGTCTCGAGACGACATCCTAACAGCGGCAGGAGCAGCATCCAACTCCCAACCAGTATCACAACCCCAAACCAAGATCCCCCGCGGCAGCTGCGCCGGCATCTTCACCTACCGATCCTCGATCTGCGAATCCGACATCGAGATCCTCACCACCGAAGACACCCACACAATCCACTACGCTAATCAACCCGACTACGATCCCATCTCGGACACTATCATCCCGGGGGCAAGTTCGATCGTGAATCTGAGTAAGCCGTGGACGTCGTGGACGACGCATCGGCTGGACTGGGTGGCTGATATGTCGGCCTGGTATGCGGATGGGCAGGTACAGAGTAAGAGTAACTATTCGGTGCCGGATCGGCCGAGTATCGTGGCGATGAATTTGTGGAGTAATGGGGGTAATTGGTCAGGGGATATGAAAGTCGGGGAGAGTGTGTTTATGGGGATTGAGTGGATTGAGTTGGTTTATAATGTCACTGAGGCCGATCAGGATCTTCCGATTAAGGATCATCCTGGGCATAGGGATCGGTATCATCGGGTTGGGGGGAGTGCTTCTGATTCTGGTTTTGTTACTTCTTCTGTGGGTGGGGATGAGGATGATGTCGAACGGAAGATGGGGAAGGCTAAGGAGAAGGGTGCTGGGTGTCAGAGACCGTGCTGGATTGATCCGTGGCATCCTGTGTGAGGGCTGTGGTGTTCTGTTGTGTTTCGTTCCTATTCTTTGATTCAGTGTCATAGAATTCATCCTAATTCTACACCCAGAATCGTGCAAGTCTTCGCATTTGCGTCTCTTACAGGTCTATCGTAGCTGTATATGCAGTAGTAAAAGTGTTTCTTGGGTTTTTGTCTTCGTAAGTTTTGCCTTCGTAAGTACAAATCGTCGAACCGAAGGGGCTGTACAGTAACCTGAAGGCACGACTAAATACATAACCATCCGCTGTTCCTCAAAGTCTTTCAAATCTCATGCGCCGTGCTTGATGCCCAATGCTAATGCCGAATGTCCAATCCCCAAGACAAATCCCAAAACAAATCCAAAAACAAATCCGAAAACATACATGTCAGGAGCTGTAGCTCGACTGACGGGGTATCCATACAAGACAATGTGAAACGCTTAGAAACAACCCCCAAAAATGCAAACGATGTCCTTTCCTCCTCCTCTGCTTCCTCCTCCTCCTCGTCGTCGTCGTTGTTGTTGCCGTTGTTGTTGTCGTCCTCTCCCCCTTCCTCCATCTTCTTCTGAACCTGTTTGTGGTTAGGACGCTCAACCCAAGAAGCAAAAATAACCAAACACCAGAAAACAAAAGAAGTGCAACGTAAAGGTGAGCACCCATACATGTTGATACAAGTTCAAAGATTAAAGAAAAGGAATTGAAGCTTCATACCTTCGCCGTGAAATTCCCTTCTCTTGTTTTTCTTTTTCTTTTCTTTTTGTTTTTTGGCCCTCCCCCCAAGAGGGGGGGAGAGCCGCCGTCCCCGTCCCCGATCATAGCAAGACATGGTCTTGCTGGGCGGGGTCGAATTCCCCCTCTAGGCCGCCGGCCATCAGCTCGGCCACTATCTTACGGCGCAGGAGTGGGGTGTCTTGCGCGCCGTAAGACAGTGGCTCGAGGCCGATGGCCACAGCCTTGGCGGTGGTGAGGAGGAAGACCCCGCAATCGGAACCATTGTCCTGCTGGGGGGACAGGGACGGCAGCACGCGCCACTCCTCCTCGACGTACTTGGGGCCCAGCTCGCCGCGGAGCCAAGTTTGGACTACCGCGATGTGGCGGCGAGACCGGGCCCCAAGAGAATCGAAATGCTCGATTGAGCGTTCTCCCGGTCGCACAACAACCAGCGTCCAGTGCTGGCTGTTGTGGACCGGGATGTAGACAGTGTCTACGTCGAGGAGGAGTGGCCCTCCGATCTTGGCCCGCTTGGCCCAGCGGGCCACGGAGTCGTAGCCTTTGTCTCTCAAGTTCGAAAAAAAGAACGAATTGAAGGCGTGAAATCGGGGCTTGTCGTTGCGGCCGGCGTTGTGATTCTTGCGGCGAAGGTAATCAACGATAAGGGCAAGGTATCCGTTGATGATCTCATCGTTAAGCCATTCGCCGCGCGTGTAACAGGTGGCGAGGGACCTCTTCGTTAAAGGGTCACCGGAGAGGGTGGTTGCGACGGTTTTTCCTCCGGATACGCGCCCATCTTGAAGTTCTTTGATGCGGGCTTCCCATTCGGGAGACAAGGGCCGTACAGCTGGGCCATCCGGTTTGATCCGTGATGGGAGCTCTTTCTGTCTCTCTTCTTCTTGGATCTGCCTCCAGCGGTTGGCGTACACAGACTCAGTTCGGCCCTCTGGAATGGGTCTTGGCTCTGGGTAAAATAGACTGACGGCCGATACTGCTCGACCCAGCGGGTATTCAAAGGTTGGTTGGGACCAGGGGTCAACGATGGGCTCATCCTCGTCCTCGTTCTCGGGGACTGGCGGCACGTTTTCCTTTTCGGTGACCTGTTCGGCCTTCGTACCAACATTGGTTTCAGGTGCTGTCTTCTCATTCACATCAAATGTATCTCCGAGATGGGGTGCCAGGTTGTCCTCCACCTCACCCCATTCTCGCGTGTCGTCAATGAACTCGGCTACCACGGGCTCACGGAAGCGAACCCTGCGCGGAGTGGCGCGGCGAGGTCTGGTTCTGTTCCCAGAACTGCCGGGAGTTCCTCTGACCTTGAGGATTGTCTTAGGTGCAACAGTGGTCGACGCTGAGAGAATCTTTTCAGTTGCACCCAATTTGACGGTGTCATCAGAAATGATGCCAATAGTGGCTGAGCGAGACTGGAAGTTCGCCAGCATGTTCATGTCTCGTACTCTGTCTAGTTCATCGTTGCTTCTCATCAAGATGGGTTCAATAGCACGGCTACCTGCGGCGGAGGCCTGACGGTCACGCGCGGCCTGATCTTCCATAGCTTTCTTCATGCCGGCGATGTCCCCAACGAAGAGGGCTCTGAAAGGCGCAGATCGCTCACGGTTCTCGGCGCGCTCGGCACGCGTTATCCACCGGTGCTTGCGGATACCCGGGCTTCCTTGCTGACGGAGACATTTTTGGGTTGTTTCTTGCGCTGAACGTCGAGCTGAACGGTGAGCCGAGCGTGTAGGGGATTTCCGAGCGGGGCGAGTTCTCATATTCTTTGAACCACGAGCACGTCTCTCAACGGAAACAGTGCCCCTGGGTGTCTGGGTCACTTGCTCTTCAGGCACTTGCTCTTCAGGCACCTGCTCCTGAGGCCTCTGTTCCTGAGACACAAGGTCCTGCCAAATTCGGGAAGACTCGACTGTAGGAGCCGTTCTGTTGTTAGAAGAGAAATCGGGAACGTTGGATAAGTCGGGGAAAGATCTGTCGGTACGAGGGCTAGATTCTCCACTTCGGATTCTTCTATCACGATCCATGCGCTCCTGCTGTTCCGGAGACAGGTTGCGAAGGTTGAGGCGCGTGGGCGATCCAGGAGGCGAAGGAAGACGACGTCCACCGCGGCGATTCCAAAGTGCGCACATGCGACGCTTAGCAGCACCAACCGCATTCGCAGCGGACCTTGCCGCATAGGAAAAGTTTTGGGTGATCCCAACAGGAATGGAGACAACGGTCTGCATGTAGTCTTGCCACGTCCCCCAGTAAGCATACCAAGGTGAAGAAGGCTGTGGTTCGGCAACCTGAAGCACAGGAACAGTCGAATCCTCGGCCTCGGCCATATCCGTATCGTTGGATGGGATTACTTCATCGGAAGTCATTGGGCTATCTTCATCATTGGTGGACCACTGAGACGGCACTGACTCGGGCCACGCTCCAGGCATCATACGGCTATCTGGAGTGCTGGGGCTGGTTGGGATCGCAAGAGCGGTAACGGTTCTGACTGCAAAAGCCTCAACTTGACGCGAGTTAGGAGAGATATTGGGAAGATCAAGGTGAGCCTCGACTGTCGCGAGGGCTGTAACCATATTTGGTTCGTTGTTATGTTCGGGGGTGTCGATGTCCATAGGCGAGCCTGGATACCAATCATTCTCGTTGGCAGTGGCATCATTGTCAGTAGCAGCACTACGTGCAAAGCTACCAGCTCTCACACGACGAAATTTAGCAGAAGGTGAATTGATGGGCTGAGCTTGCTCATTGCTACCATCATCCATTGATCTCTTGCGAGAAGGCGTAGTAAAGCCAGAGGATTTATTGGTGGGGAACGAATTCATATGAAACGCTTTCTTGTCTATACCGATAGACTTGCCTCCAAGAAGATAATTGGTTCCACTTGACCTCTCAGGACCAAAAGGCAGGCTGAGGGGCTTGTTGTTTGACCAAGAGGCGCGGCTCAAGCCGGGATTTAGGTACTTGCTGGTACCAACTGAGGCATAGGATGGCTGCGCATTAAGGCGGCTCTTCTGGATAGCATCAAAGCTGAGGAGAGAGGTGGAGCGATTATTCGGAGAGAAGCGATGATCGGGTCTGATGAGCGGGGTGCGGAGGGGGAAGGAGGGCTTGACTTCATGCTTTCCGCTGAGTCTCACAGCCTTTGGATTTCCGGGAATATGCACGGATCGAAGCTGATACAAAGGACTCTCTGCGGAAGGGGCATTGACGGTTTCCTGAGGAATGTTAGAAGAGGGGAAATCGGGGGCGCAATCCATAGGGTCATGGGCGGTGGCATCGACAGCCTCCTCGTGGGGCGCCGAGTCTGCGGGCACATAGCATACGTTTTGCATTGGCTGGTCCTCCATGTCGGGTCTGAGAGTCGAGAAGACTCCAGACATGGCGACAAGTAAAGTAGACACAAGTTCTTCAGGTGAAGGAAGTTGTGAAAGAAGTTGTAGGATGTTGATCGCGCGGTACGAAAAGTTGCTGTATTCGCTGGAATCGTAGACGCGTTCAGAGGTAATGGGAAGATGGGTGATAGGAGAGAAGAAAGAGAAGAGGAAGAGAAGGAAGAGCAGGGTGAAGAAGAAAACAAGAGCGGCGCCGTGGGCAGCGAAAGGGAAGGAAGAATCAAAACAAAAGTATTCACTGAAGGCAGCCATGGGCGACTGCCATAGTGATGGTGGAAGTCGCGCGCGTCGCCGCAGTGAATTGGAGCTCCATAGGAACGCGCGGGGGAAAGCGCGGGGTGGGCGAGGGGCGAGGAAGGCGCAAAGACGGAGGGGAGGCAATGAAGCCGCGAGAAGTTGAGGAAGAGACGAAGCAAGCAATGGAGTTAAGCAGCAGATCAGTTCATCTTCCGAGGGAAGCTTGGCTGCCACTTTTCCTCTTCCAGTGTGTCACGTGGTGTATGCCGGCTGGCGGATGGAGTAGACTCTATGCATTTGCTGTTCATATGCTGTTGTTCCATTTCCTGCGGGTATTCCCATCAAAAAAATGAACATGCGACCCATGGTTCCTCCTCCGGCTTGGATCATCTCATTCTCTTGGACTATACAACATCAGTGCATTTTGTAGCCTTTCCCCTACTTTACTGTCTTCCCTGTATACATACACTCGCAACCTGGCTCTACCTCCCCTACTTCCTCCCAGTAGATTACTCGTCGGTTATCATTCCTTATCAAGGGTCAATACCAAGCACTAAACCACCACCTTAAATTCATAGACTCCTGTCTAGATCTCCGGTTCGGTCCCCAGGAATTATACTAGTAGTATCACTTCCATTCGCCTCCACTAATTGCTGAACATCCCACCTTTTTAAACAACACATAAAAAAAAAAGAGATCATCAACAGTCTATGTACAAGAACGGCAGCTTTGTTATACACCAAGGACTTTGGTTAGTCCAGCCCGCTGAACCGTAGAGAAAATAGCAAAAGGTTTACAGAATTGAAAATGGGTGATGACTGTCGGACCCACCCCGCGACTACTAAGCTACTATGGCGCCAGCCCTATCCGATCGAAGAACAAAGGCGCTCCCTCCATCACAATCCAGGCAATTCCTAATTAGCACAGTCAGCATCTACAACGCTCCAATTCGGCGCATCGGGATTTACCCACCGGAATATACAACGAGTTTCGTGACAACCTCCACATCATAGCGCACTCTGGGCCGTTTGATCTGCGAAAACACTTCCTTCTCGTCGGCTTCGATTTCCGACTCAAATGGAGGGAAGGGCACGGTCGAAGAAGCTTCTTGTGAGCTAACATCGACCGAAGTCGCCACACCAGGGGCACCTGTGCCCATCATATTCTCATACTCGTGCAATTTAGATGGCTTCCGCGACAGTTTCCGTGGCTCGGACTCCGAGGCCGGTCCACCTGCTTCCGGTACTGGGGATGGCTGGTTGGCCGTTGAAAGACTTTCCCGTCTCCGCTTCTCACGATATGCCAGGGTCTCATACGCGTCAGCCTCTGATTGCGGGCCGATCGAAATAGCGCGTCGTCGAGGATGCCGGATAGTGGTTATAATCGAAGGTATCTCCGAAAAGCCCGGTAGCACTTCGTGGTCCCGGAGCTGGGATGGAACTGTCGTGTATTGTCTGTTTGGCACGTTACGTTAGCTGCGTTTCTCTTTGCAGAGAACTCTTCGTCTTCTCTTCTGTTCAAGGCCGCATGGTAAACTTACGAAGCATTCCGGAAAAATCTCCGGGGAAGTATGAGGCCCAACTTTTCCAGGCCCCGGAAAACAGGAGGCAAAGCCCGAAGCAGAAAGGGCTTGGTGACAGCTCGCCACGTGAAAAGCATAAGAACACCAATGATGAGGCGGAGAGCCGTCTTGACCAGTCCTACACGCTGAAATTCGAATGGGACATTGGCCGGCACAGGTTCATCCCACATCAAGCTTGACCTAGCTATGTGCCAATAGGCCACTTGTGCTCCAAGCGTGACACCTGCAAAAGCCACACTGTCGTCGAAGCACGGGCAGTCATCCGCAGGCTCTGGGTGTATACGGACCAAACCCAAAATCAACAGAATCACTAGTGTAACCCCCCTTCCGGTAGCAGAAACGACATACTCATCGACGGTCGGACCAAACGTATACTGTAGGAAGGCGAGGAGGAACCCAAGTAAACATCCAATGACAACATCAAAAAACCCATGCATACCACAGTACAGACGACCCAGGACAATGGAACAGACGTAGAGGTATGTTATAGCTTGGAGGACGATATTGACCTGGGGGCTCAGGGTGGAGTCGGGGGAGTTCAATAGCGCGAGAGCGTATGCCGCAACCGAGACCGCATTGGTGGAGTGAGTCGATGGGAATCCGTATTCCAACGCCGCAGAGCCGGACATTGTTATCCGTTGGAGAGGAGGGGATAGAGGCCGCGGGAGGCAAAGCAAGTCTTTGATGAAACCACTGAAAAACACGCCGGAGGCCAAAAGATGCACCATCCTGAGAGAGTGAGAGTCGTCAGCTCAATTGCAGGGTAGATAATCGTTTTCCCTCTGTCTATGTCTAAGGGCTCAGCATGGCCACTTACCCGCGCCCCAAGCTCGTATACCCGCACCAGAACAAGATCGGCAGGAAAACCATGAAAAAGGTATGTGTGCCCAGATTGGCCGTGAAGGCAAAGTAGGAGTCTAGGGCCGGAGTGCGAACCCTCTCCTGGACCCAAGCCAGATACGGGGTCTCATATCGAATTAGGGGGAGGAGCTTCTGTCGTGGCCAATAACGCCAATAAGGGAGCTGGTTTCGATCTGATAGCGATTGAAGACAAGCCGCGGTTAGTCCACTAAAATCAATTGCGATTCGACAATCGACACCACGTACAATGATCGAGGCTTCTCAGCCCAGCGTCCGGCTGGCCATTCTTCCCATTGACCATGCTGTCGTCGTTGTTGTTGTTCAGATAAGGCAGCCGTTTCAATATAGCGTGATGGTGTGTTTGCGACAACCCCCCATAAGGTTCCCGACAGATAGCAATCTCAACACCCACAACGGGCTGGTAAGATCATTGATGACTGGCGTGGTTGGAGAGGAGACCCGAGCTTTTCGGGGAGGCCACTTTCTATCAGCGGGAAAAAAGGAGAGCAGTAGATCGCGGTAGGCTAAGTCATGCTCATCCGGCGTTATCGCAGAAAAGGTCGTGTTCTTGGCGGCCGATGCGGCCGTGGTTTGTCCAACCACTCAACTCTCGACCCTCAAGCCTCCCCCGGCTGAGCTAAGGGTTTAGTCACCCGAAACACGGCAGCGAAAGGAATATGATCGCCCTCGACAAAGTGATCTATCTAGAATCGGAACTACTTACAGCTGCCCACGGGGCTGTCATCCTTAAAGCTGCGAGGCTAATTAGAATAGTCTGTTTACTGAATGAGAATATGCTGTATGAAATTCAGTGTATTTGCCAGTTCTCTGGTGGTTTTCTCAGTGAAAGTGGTTTGAATATATATAATCATTAGAACACTGTTACCATCATGTCTTGGGAGGCATACTACGTGATAATTTTGAGTGGACACTCTGCGACAGCTTCAAGCATAATATTTCTTGAACGAAAATAGTAATGCCGTGCATGATACGGATACGCGTCCCTGTCGGGACGGTGTTTCTCGTCGGCGCTTATGCAGTCATTCGACCGCAGATCAATGCAGCAATTTATATATAGTATGGAGTAGTGAAGTATTACTCCTGCCAAAATGCGCTGTGGTGAACTTTCAGACCAAACGCAGTTTCAATTGCCCATGATCGATGTGATGTTGAAGCTAATTAGTACTTTTAAGTACGTAGGATACTAGTAGCTGGGGATTGCTAGAGCATTGACTACCCAAGCCGTGTCCTAGCACCTACTATACGGACTGACACATTCTCCTTCGTAGCGTACGATATCTGCAATTATGACTTATGAATTATGTTGTAGCCTAAGAGCCGATGTCCATAGTCATGAGGGGCACTGTACTGAAGTGCTAGCCCCCAATTCTCCTACTGATGGTAAGGAATGAAGCAAAGTTGACAAGTGCAGCTTGGCATGGTCCAGATCTAGACCGTTTATATGTTTAAACATCTTTCCATGTGGCTGAGTATAGGTTGTCAAGCTGCCAAATGGAAGCTGACAAGGACAGCGACGCGTGGAATGAGCCCGGCTGGGATAGGAAGTTGCAGGCATCGGTGGCGGAGGCTAGAAGGCTGTCAAATCCGCCTTCATAGTGTACGAATGGCTACAATCTTGGCACCATGACAAGTGGAATTTCTAGCTGATAGGCATACAACCAGCAGTAGCTGCGAGGAATTCGCTCTATACACCCGAGGACACGAAACTACCTAGCCAACATACTTGAGTAAGCGGATGCGTATCTACGGAGTACTGAGCTACTAATTGGTAGTAATGATCGACCACCAAATAATCGCTCATGACTAGTACTAGCCTTGTAGTGATTAACCTCGGCAGGAACAAGAATTGATTAGTTCTTTCGGGCCAAATCCAAGGCTGAACGTGACATCGGGAAAGATTACGTCAACCGGGTTTTCCCTTGTTTCTACTCCGTAGTTTCTACTCCTCCGGATTGTTGGGTAAAAAGCGGTTTCAGGGACCTGGACCGTGGACGAAGACTTGTGTAGCACGGACCTGCAAGGGATCGCACCAGAAGGAAACCTTGATCAATGTTATCGATTACCCGGGGCCAACCCTGCCACTAAAGCCCCATTTTGATTCGAGGATCGGGAATGATTCCAAGGAGGACGGCGATAGAGTGGTGGTAACCGGGCTCGGGGGCCCGGCCATCGTCGAGGAATTCCTGGTGAGCAACTCAGGTAGGTAAACAACCAAGGAACCGAGTGAACATCCGGCTGAACCTACTAAAAATAACAGGCGCGGATGAGGCAGAAGACGAATGGAATCGATGGATATGCGTCCAGCTGAAGTTGCGTGGAGTGACAAGCGGAGCTCGTGCGTCATTTGTCCCGCGGCGTTGCCATGGCAGCCCATCGGCCGGTAAACATCGGTCTCTTACGGTTTCATGTCAGCCACGACGGCCTCGTTGTTGGAGCAGCCGTGGGAGAAGGAGGAGGCTGGCTGGCTGGCTGGCTGGGCTCATCGTGGAGAAACTAGTAGGTGCATCTGAAGCCTGACATCCCTTTCTTTCAGAACCTCTTCGTGCTGGTTTCGCGTCTTGTTTTTCTAATCCACCAACCTCCTCTACAACCCCCCCTCCTCACATCCCAAATAACCACCACCCCCCATTTACCTTTTGTACAGCAAGCCACTTTACTTCGACATTCCTAACAACGCAGGGGAATTGCTCAGTACACACCGACCCAGAAAACTTTCCGCTGTGCTTTTGACAAGACAGTGGATCGTTAAGCAGCAATTATTACCGAGCCGCATTTCCAGACCGACAATTCCCACCCCTTCCGGAACGGCTGTATAACTCACATTCCTCGAAATTCTCCTACTCCGCCATCATGTCAGGTACAATGTACGACGAGCACGTTTATGCACCCTCACGGCGCCATTCAGTTGCTACTCCTCCCCCATCCATGACTCCACGACATAGTCGGACCCGCAGTCAAAGTGTCAGAGTTAGCAACGGCACCGTGAGCACAAATACAAGCGTATCGAGCGGGAGGATGTCGGAAGCTACCAACATTACACATCCACCTGCGTATTCAAAGAAGTTTGTTGTGGTTGGCGATGGTGGATGTGGAAAGACGTGTCTTTTGATCAGTTATTCCCAAGGTTATTTCCCAGAGGTAGGTTTTGGATACACCCCGGTGAGGAAATTCCGCATCGTCGCGAAACTAATTATCGTGCGTCCAGAAATATGTCCCTACTGTGTTCGAGAACTACATCACACAAACCACCCACCGAGCCTCGGGCAAGACGGTTGAACTAGCCCTCTGGGATACAGCTGGACAGGAAGAATATGACCGACTGCGTCCACTGTCATATCCGGAGACGGACCTGTTATTTGTTTGCTTTGCGATAGATTGCCCTGCATCTTTGGAAAACGTCATGGACAAGGTAATTCCCAGCTATCCCGCGACGAGTTATGGGAGCTAATACCGGCCGCAGTGGTATCCTGAAGTTCTGCACTTTTGTCCCACTACCCCGCTCATTCTGGTTGGGTTGAAGTCAGATTTGCGCTCGAAGAGAACGTGTATCGAACTTCTGAAGACCCAGGGCCTAACGCCTGTGACGCCGGAACAAGGTGAGGCGGTGGCGCGCAGGATGAATGCCTCTTACATTGAGTGTAGTAGCAAAGAAATGCGCGGCGTCGACGGCGTCTTCTCCCTGGCGGTCGATACCGTTGTCTCTGCGGAGGAGCAAGACTGGAATGACCGCCAGACGTCTTCTACTCCCGGAAGCAAACCTAAAGTCGGTGGTGGAGGCGGAGGAAAGAAGGTCAAAAAGCGTTCCTGCAAGATTCTGTAGACTTTGGTCTTCTTTTGATGTTTGTCTGGTCATGATCATCTGCCCTTTTGGTTTCGCCTATTCTTCCTCTTGCGATGTCTGTTTTTCTGCCATTCCTGTTATGCCGAGTGAGAAGCCTGGTTGCTTCGACGGTTTCCCCACGCTTTTTGTATGTGACATGACATGACATGACCAAGAGGCCATGAAGATGAAAGACACTGCCTGATGCAACTGTGTCTGCTACTTTGCCCTCTACCTACCCTTTCCACCTATACATGCCGGCGGCTTCTTGACTTTTGCTTGCTCCATGTTGCTATACCTGTTTCGACCCTGATGACTGTTTCCCTCAATTACCATTACTCTTATCATCATATCCTTCCCACCCCTTCGATTTGGCGATTGTTTTTTCTCACTGTGTCTGAATGCTTGATGTTGTCACGAATTTGGTCTGTTGGCCACTATTTTGCCATGCATGGGATGGGTGTTTACTGGCGCAAGCGAAAATCCCGTGTACTTGAATTGTTGAACTTGTTTTGTTGCCAAACTTATCAACTCTGTTATTACCCCCATATGGTATCCGTATCCCGATATTTCCAATAGCAACCAGAGTAAAGCAAAAATAGGAAAAAGTAACAAAAATAAACAATACAGCAGTTAGAAGTTATCAATAGAAAAACAAAACAACTCCTCTACCATACGCCACCAATCAACCAATCTAATCCATACCCACATAAACAACCAGAACCAGAACCTCAAACCAAGCCGCAGACCCAATTATCCTCACCGATCACCGATCACCGATGATCCTCCTCCTGAAGCTGACTCCCCTCCTCATCATCATCCTGATGCTGCCCGCCTCCACCCCCACCACCAGCACCGCCAGCACCAGCACCACTACCACCCTTCTGCTCCTCCCCAGGCCTGCTGCCCATAAAGTTCTCAAACTGGGACCAGAGCGCTTCCACGGAGCCGAATTCATTTCCTACCTGCAAGACCATTACAAGATCATCAGCTTAGAGTAGAACCAGAAGAGAATAAATAGACGGAATCTGATCCGATCTGATCTTATGTGATCGGCATGCGCGGAATGGATCGGAGGAAGAATAAGTGGGGAGGGGGGGTGTGGGCGAGTAATTATCCGTCATATTTTTTTTTTGCCTGAGTATTGAGGTAGCGTAGGTAGGTATTAACTTACGGAAATAATGCTCTCCAGGTTCCGGTTCAGCCGGTTGATATTTTGGAGGACTTGTTCCATGCCCTGGTGATTATTATTTCGTTAGATTATCACAAGGGATTGGGATTGGGGATTTGGTTTGGGGATAGAGGGGGGTAGTTTGTATGGAATGAAATGCATAGGGTAGAACTCACCACTGCAATCTCTCTAACTAATTCTGCCCGCTGCTGTTCGAAGACTGTTGGGCTGGAGGATCGGTTTTTGGGGATTGGTGTTGTTGACATTGTGGTGGTGTGTGGGTGTGTAGTCTGGGTTTGGATTGAATAGAAGGACTCAATGCAAAGAGGAAGTCAATTTCTGGGATGGTTGCTGAGAGGCTAAGTGTTTGCTGGCTTTAATCTTCCCCCGTCCTTGTATGATATTGCTCGATAGCACGCGTGTTGATTGCTTTCGATTGTGATTGTCGGTTGTTGTTGGCTCGAGGCGGGGCGGTTCCTGTCCTCGGATTGCCTGATTCGGTTTGGTGGCGTTTATTTTGCCCGTGGTGAAGTTCACCGCTTTGGTGGCCGCCTTGGGGCTTATCGATAAGGGATTGATCTATAGTTGAGGAGTGCATTGGTATTGCTTTGGGCGACAATTGGGAATTTGAGCAGTTTTAGATATCGAGTCAGGTAAGATTACCTAGTATGGAATTTTGGCTTTGGAGCTATACCATAGTCTAATACCTATCGGACCTAATCTGTGACATGGAATAGAATTACCACTACAGCCGCATGTAATGCCATCTAGCTCGAGCATTGCAATGAGTAGCGGCCATATGTGGGTGTCTATTCTTACTATATGTGATATTCTCACCATAATATATATTCTAGCTTGATACAGATAAACTATACTATAGGACAATTATAATGTTCCACAATTGACTCCCTAACTTCATCGACTTGACGTTCCTCTGACGTAACGCGTTGCCGAAGGTCTATTTAACATGGCAAGACTATCAGAATTCTATATCGAAAAGAAATACACACCCAGTCGACAATATAAAGATGAAGGCAATTGGCGTGGAAAACTACGGACCTATTGACCGTCTCGAAGCACGGGAAGTCCCGAAGCCGACAGATCTCCAGCCTCGGGATCTTCTGATTCGGTAGGATGGCTTCATCTTTTTTGATCATATATGTAGTCGCTAAAAGTCATGACAGAATCAAAGGCGTTGCTGTGAATCCGGTGGATACGAAAGTACGGAATGGTACATATGACGACTATCCTGGTAAGGCTTAGACTACATCTGACATGGTCAACGTGGAGTACTAGTTGATTAACGTCTCGACAGACTACTACGACCGCGTTCCTCGACCATTCCAGATCACCGGGTACGATGCCTCAGGAATTGTCGAAGCCGTTGGATCACAATGCTCGCTTTTCAGTATCGGCGATGAGGTATACTACTCGGGAAGCCCTATCAGACAGGGATCGAATGCCGAGTATCAACTAGTAGATGAGAGGAGTGTTGGTCGCAAGCCGAAAAGACTAGATTTCGTGGAGTCGGCTGCCATGCCGTTGACGTATATTACAGCGTATGAGGCTCTCGTCGAAAGACTGGAGGTGAACAAGGGTGAAAAAGCAGCTCTCCTCATCATCAACGGGGCCGGTGGAGTGGGTGCCATGGCTACCCAGATTGCACGTGTTGTGTTGGATCTTCCAGTGGTAATCACGACAGCGTCACGCCCGGAGACAATCCAGTTTACGAAAGACATGGGTGCGACTCATGTCGTGAACCACAGAGAGGACGTTACTAGTCAGATTGAGAAACTCAACCTCGATGTACCTCTGAAGTAAGACATGTCTGTGGAAGTCTAGAATCATTACTAACAAGAGCCCAGGTATATCTTCATCACACACTCCACAGACCAGTACATGGATACGTGCGCCCGAGTTTGCGCGCCGTTCGGCAAGGTCTGCTCGATTGTCCAAGGTCAAGCTAAGATGTATGGAACGGAGTTCATGTCGAAGTCGTTAACGTTTGTCTGGTGTCTGCTTGGAACCAAGCCGTATCATAAGGTGGATGTCGAATCGCACCATCGCATTCTGAAAGAGCTTACAGACTTGATTGATGCGGGAAAGATCAAGTGCCATCTAACGAAGCGACTGAGATTGACTCTTGACGGTGTGAAAAAAGGACATGAGCTATTGCAGTCTGGTGGGAGTATAGGCAAAGTCGGGTTAGGCGTAGATGAGCCTGGACCTGGAGAGATCTTTGCATAGTGATGTGACATGTAAATCTACTTAGCAGTTGACTATACGCAGGTATGAAATACCGAAATACAAACAAGAAATATGGCCATCATTGTTTCCTTTATCTCCTTCATATCACCGCCAATGGGTGCCTATGTGCGAAGATCCTTGGTCTTGCTTCATCCACTATCCACCGCGACAACGCGTCCGAGACTTGCGCCTCTCGCCACTAAAACAGTACACCTGCACCATCTACACCAACATAGCCACCAAACAACACACCCAACCCAAACTACACTCCACGCGTCCAGCCACAAACCAAGCGACCCGAGAAATCCAGATTCAACGTGAAAGAAAACCCGCAATGGCACAGACGCAGCCACCAATTACGTCTTATCAGACGTGTTCCAGTGCGTCGCCACTGAGAAAAGCAAGTCGGCCAGTTACATATACCGATCCGGTGTAGGTAACAGATTTCAGCCATAAAAGATCCACCAAAGCATGCTAGTTGCGCTTGCTAGC